TGTGTTCTAGGAAGAAATGGTCAGAAATTGTGGTATCCTAATTCATATCTGCCTTCCAGGATGTCATGAAGATGTCCTTGGCAAGGGCTGGGATTAGAATATATTAACATATACTATTTAACATAAAAATATTTAGCCTTACTGACTGGACTTTCATTTGAGCTTTTGCTTCAAATTTGAAGGGAGGCCTGAGTCATCTAGTACATTATATAATTTACCAAATGTTCAAATTTACTACTTGTTGTCTGTCAATACTCCACCCCCAACACAGGTAAGAACCTGGCTTTTTGGTTGCTGACATCTAAATGAGCCAGTGGTACATAGTAGGAAGCCCTTGAAAATTTGTGGAATAAATTGTGGATTAAATGAGTGAATGAATAATTCCTTGTCACCTATATTATATGTAAGCACTTTCTGTTCTTTCAGTATAGACCTGACCTGTCGCTGGGTCTGGGAATTCGGACAAATTCACCTTCTAATCTGTAGGATGGGCTTAAGAGTACAATGGTCTCTTGAGGTTATAAAGACTAAATAAGTCGTATCATTTCTGAGCCTGGAAATAACTGGAGTATCTACTTCTTGTCATTTTTTTGAGGTTTGAATACATTACTGATGTGAAGTGCTCAGCACAGTGTTTGGAACAAAGAAAATAAATGTTGACTTTAAATGATCAGACTAAGGGTCTCCCTGATGGCGTAGTGGGTTGAGCGCAGTGCTGTGAAGCTGTCTACAGCCTCTGTAGCACAGGTTCGATTCCCGGCCGGCCAGGGAGAAACCCACATGGTGCGGCAGACCTCTCCTGTCTCACTCGCTGCTCCCCTCAGCAGTGTCTTCAGTCCACCTGCCTGTTCTGTTCCACACTCTGTGTCTGGTGAATCCTCTCACCCTCCCGCACCTCTGACTGTACCCCAGTTCTTGTATAAATAAATAAATCTTTAAAAAAATAAATGATCAGATTTAAAGAAGGAAGCAATTGGTGTCCAAGGAGAGGCCTTTTCAGAGCCTCTCAAGGTTGCCAATGGGTAGCTGCCTGTTTCAAAGCACTAAGGCCTGAGAAGGAGCAAGTGTTTCATTATCTACCTGGCTATTGGGTCCTGGCCTGAGGTTGGCCTGATCTCTCCCCTTGGGGCAGCAGTGACCTGATCCTATGGAGTTGCGGTAGGGAAATGTCAGGGGTACCCTTCATTGAAGGGCTGGGTTGGGCTCTCTCAAAAATCATCCCACCAGCAGAGATCATAAAACACTTTAATAGAGCCCCATGTTCTGAGACAATCTCACATTGAGAAAGGATGCCTAAGACCTTTGCAACCCTAGAACTCAGAGCCCCAAAAGCCTGCTTGGATAATGCAAGACTAACCTCTCCCTCTGGAGTTCCCAGGATCATCTGCATGGCTTTTTTGTTCCTCTTGTCTGCCTTTCACTGCTCTTCTGCACTGGGCACCTCCCACTAAGTTGTAACTTCTCCGAGGTTCACTTTACTTGAGAAAATCCTTCCCAAGATAACTTTATGCTAATAATAAAGCTACCAAGTGTTGATAGGAGATGAGAGGCAAAACATATGCAGCAGCCTTCTGAATAAGCACTATTTATTCAATCAGCTGTCCAGCTCTGAAGGACAGAATCCTGATGAGGACAGTTGATCATCCTTCAGGTATAGCTGACAACTAAGAGACAACTAAGAGACCACAAATGCAGTATCATTTGTAAGCTAAAATACTTTTCAAAAGAAACTTCATAATATGCCTTTTGAGCCCTCTTTTTCACTTTCTGCCTCTGCAAGTACTATGTCAATAACTGCCTTGCTGTTCTGTGATTTTAGTGCCTGAGCAGCGCTAGTCTACACTCAAGCACAAGGACACAAGGCAGAGGCCATCCTCCCTTGATTGCTACTGCAAGAGATCTGCCAGACCTGCTGATTCTCAGCTCAGGGGCAAGAGACAGGAGCCACCTCACCCTCACCAGGGGCCAGGGGTCGTGGTTTCCCTAGTACAGGCCTGCCAGTGCCTGGCTTTTTCTCCTGAACATGGTTGGGGCCAGGGGAAGAGGTTCCAAACCAGAGACTGATCAGCAATTGATCTTTCCTGCAGCTTCAAGGTGAGTTTTGGAGTGCATCGATGTGGGAGGATGCGTTCCCTCACCTCCAGGGCTTTGCAGCCGTCTCTCTGGACTACTAGGCAAGGGGGATGGAGATGGATCATATTTTAGCCAGTGAAACACTTGGAGAGTTCTTCTAACCTCCCTAGAGCAGTTCCTTTTGTTTCTGTTGATTTTTTTAAAAGATTTTATTTATTTATGCATACAAGAGCTGAGGTGTAGGCCAGAGGTGTGTGTGGGGTGTGTGTGTGAGAGGATTCACCAGAGATAGAGTGGGGAACAAAACAGGCAGACTGACTGAAATACACTGCTGAGGGGAGCAGCGGGCGACACAGGAGAGGTCTGCTGCTCCAGGGGTGTCACCTCCCTGGCTGGGGATTGAACTCATGCTGCAGTGGCTGATGATAGCTTGACAGTGCTGATGCTTAACCCCTTGCACCACCAGGGAGGCCCCTGTTTCTGTTGATTTTTAAAAAAAAAATTCATGGTAAGACAGAGAAGATGGTGGGCCTGCTTCTCCTGGGGTGGTCACTTACCGAATTAGAGGCAGGTGACTCTGATCAGTACAACCTTCTTCATGGGGTAGGTATGCAGGTCCAGGCTCCCAGCTCCAGGAATTCAGGAGACATTGCTGAGAGGAGGAACACTGTGAGAGGAGAGGATTTTCAGGGTTTTATACCGAGGACATTTGGGACGCTTATGAAGAAGTGAGCTTGTGGGTTGACTATTGACATGTTAAACTATCCCTTCACTTTAGGATGGCAAATAGCAAAACTACAATCATTCTCATCACTCTAAAGGAACAGGGACTTTTGACTAATTGAAATTTTTGCTTACTCAATAGTGTATTTTTGACTTTCAAACATTCTCGAAAAATCTGTGTTGGAAAAAGAAGAGGAAGAATCGTGTAGAAGCAGGAGGAGTGAATAGAATAACCCCAGAGTGAAGGAGAAACCTGGAGAGCCCAGAAGATCGTGGGCTGAGAGTGGAGGCACAAGCTAAGACCAGAGTCCCACTGGCCAGCCTGCAAGGGGCTCCCAATCTAGAAGTTTCTTGGTCTTCAAAACCCAAAAGTTGCAACAGCTGGTCAGAGTATGAGTCCTGCAGAGGCTTGGATGGGCACTGGATCCAGCATGTGCTTCTATAGAAAAACAAAAAACAAGGGGTTGCCACTTTGCTTGCCAACCTCCCATCATTCCCAGGTAGAGGGGATGGTTTTGCCAAGACAGCCCAGAGCCAACTCCCATTTATCGAGCTCCCCCTCCTTTATCCCTTTGGGTAACAGTCCTGGAAGCACAGTGGCCAGGCAGGGGTGGGCAAAGGGCAAACTGCAAATAAAAATATGTGCACCTTCAAAAGACAAGGGGAAGTTGAAAACATGTCTAGGTGTGGGAATTTTGGAATCACTGAAGTACAAAATGTAGAACAATTATTATTGTCACCCTGCCACTCACAAAGGAGATACAAATGCTCACTGGGACTGAGAAATAAGACTTATCGGTCATCGTATTTATTAGGTTTTTTGTAACAATACACATTCACATCCTTTAGAATACAGTACATTTGGCACAATAATGTTTACAATGAAATAACACTAATGAATGGCAAGAGATTAAAATTACACCCAGAGAGGAAAAAAAGTACAAATAAAGCATCACAATACAAAAAAAAAATCCCTAAAGTTGAATAGATTTTATATTTAGCCAGAATTATTTTGCACATAATTTAAGAGAGGTAATTGTTTTAGCCTTCCTTTTTTTTAAAGCAAGAATACATTTTTTTCACCTTTGGAGGAAAAAATTATATTTTCATTTCACAAAGTTCAAATGAAAGAACACAGGAGGACAACTATCCTTCATTTTTTTTTTTTTTGGCATTTTTGCACTTTTTTTTTTTTTTCTTAAAAAAAAAAAAAGAGTGCTGAAAAAATTTAAAAGAATTAGCAGAAATGTAACAGTGTGTCCGCTTCCAAACTGGTGAAAACTAAAATGAAACAATGAATACTCGAGGAACACACAAGCTTTTTTCTATAGACGACATGGGATTTGATTCTGCCTGTCTGAGAACTTGATCAGCTCTAGTTCCAAGCAGGAGGCATCCTTGCCAGCAGGTTCTGGTGCTGGCAGGGCACACCTCTGGGCAAGGTGACCTGCTGACTGTCTGGAGCGGCCAGGTGGAATGTATTATTATTTGACTTCCCAGCAAAAACGTCAGTTGTCTGTAGAAAGGGCCCAAGCCCTGATGACATGGGAACACCCACAGAGCCCTTGGGCAAGACCACTAGGCATTGCAGTTAGGGCTTGCTTGGTTGTTCAAAGTTCATCATGGAGAAGGAAGCAGAAGAAATACCAGAGAGCAGCAGTGATACATGAGTATGATGGGCAGTATTGTCATGTCGTCCTAAAAAAATGAGATGATGCCACCATGATGATGTTTCTGTGCTTGTACTCAACTCCAGAAGATAAGTCTCTCCCCAGTACAGTCAAGTTACCAAAGATAAATTAAATTAATCCACTGTTCTTCATTACTTCACTGGTATGCCAAACACAAATGGATAGAGCATAATATTTGAAATTATCATAAGAACAGATAATAATTACACCTGAGTTTTTAAAAAAATAAAAACAATAGAGAACCAAATGCCATCTTTAGCCACAAAGGCTATGACCAGCCAGATGCACTTATGGACACCAATTCTCTATGGCCTCCAGCTAGTCACTGTCCAAGCTTCAAAACCATCAAAAATATTCCTTTCTTTTCTCCATCTCTATCAGAGTAAAATAGAGCACAGGAGAACTATATGAGAGATTTAATATAGCTTAATATATGTTTACATCCTTTACAATAAACCAAAATGAAATAAACAATACAAAGGATCCCTCCCAACCCCCGCCCCCTCCAAAAAAAAAAAAAAGAAACCAAGAAAGAAAATAACACACTTTATCTCTCGGTAACTTGAACCAATACACTTACAGAGTATTGCACCTGGACATTATTATAATTATTCTTTCATAGACTAAAGTTTTATAATATGCCTGAACATGCAGCAGTTGATACCTCTAAAGTCAATGAATTAATTCCACAGGCCTTGCAGCAAACACTATATACAAAAATCTCAAATGTACAAAAGGCAAAAAGCTTCATTAGTGCCACTTTGCCACTCACAAGTATATATATTTAGGGGCAGCTAGGAAATCCACGTGCAACGGTTGGAATGGATTCCATTCCCTGCTAAATCAGTTCAGTAAAACAGATAATCAAATGACCTCCAGGAAACATATACACGAAGCCACAGAAAACCCTTGGAAATCAATGAATGTAACACTGTTAGCGTATCTACAGGAGGTAACATCACATCCATTAAATAATGTCCATAGGAGTTGCCATTATATGTCACACAGAAACGAAAGTTCCATGACCTCTTGCCACATTGTCCGTTTTCAAACAAGGTGCTCTTCTGTCTTTTGGTATCCTCTGGAAAACCCAGGTCTTATCCTCATTCTGCTTATTCCGAAAACAGACATTTCATATTTAACTTTACATGTTTAATGTTTAATAAAAACCACAACACAGTAGTACTACGATTTTGTAGAAGTGTGCAAAAAGAACACACTGTTGCAGAAAATAAATAAGAGTTTATGCTGGGAACTTAGGATGAAACTGGAAAGAGAATTTGGGAGCCAAATTTGGCTGGAACCCCAGGGTCTTAGCCATCACTGCAGTGACCTTTGCATTCAGGCAGAACTAAGATAATGAGGAGGCGACTTGTTTCCTTTCCTCTTGCTTCACATAGACTCTCTACGTGAAGCCACTACAGCATTAACACCACAGCCTTGGACAACTGGTTTCTCATTTTATATTAGCCCTTTAATATCTACCTGCAGTTAATATTGGATTTTATATTTTTTGGCCAATTAGAAAGCAAATTTGAAAATATATATATTTTTTCAAATGTTAACAGAGTTCAAAATCAAATTGCTTTTTCTATAAGGAGAGAACTCTTCCATGAGATACATGCTTACACAACTTCGGCATGCCCGACAGCTAAGACCAAAGCAAGCAAGAATTAGCCGTCCCAGAGCAAACCAGCACAGGTGGCCGCCCGTGCCTCTCTCTATTCCTCTTCTTCACAGGCACGACCCAAGGGTGCCCACCCCCATGCCGAGGAAGCACCAGTCTCTTCTCCTGGACAGAAAGGCAGAGGGTGGCAGGCGGGGGTGGGGGTGGGGGTGTGTCACGAGGTGATACATGACAGTGGCCCAGACGCTCCGTCCAATAGCGGAGCCAGAGTCAACTTGCCTACCTTTTTTCCTCTTTACAGTAAAAGAATTGAAGTTGCCTCACTGCCAGGCACCCCCGAGGAGAGGGACTTGGCTTACCAACAGACCAAACAAGGCAATGTGTCCCGTAAACTGCTAACCCCACGTGATTCTGCATTATTCGTGGTTTACCGGGTAGAAGGAGGGAGGGACCGGCCAGGGGTCAGGGAATGCAATAAATAGAGAGTGGACAGGGAACTGGGTCCCTGGGGAGAAGTAGTTCAAGACCTTCTGAGCCTCTGGAAAATCGGAATCTCGGCACCGCTTCTTGCAGCATCACCAAACTCCACCTGGAGCAGCTACTCAGGGCATGAGGTCTTCACCAAAGTAGGAGAAGCCTTTGAATTCCTCCTGGTTGATCTGCTTCACAATCGCTTCATCCACGAGCGTGAGTACTGGCTCTTCCCGGGTAAAGTCTTGGTCAAAGTTATTGACGTCTCTTTTGGTTTTCTGTGGGGAGAAAGGGGCAAGTATTGACTCACAGCTGGCCTTCCTCCCCAGGGCCCCCCACAGGGAGTGGACATCGTGCTGACCAGCCTCTCATCAAAGCAGGCCTCTAGCTACTACTGAGAGCAGACACAGAGCTTTTCTGATGAGTTAACGATGGATGGCCCCGGGACTAGGAGGTAACATCAGACTTGGAGAGGAAGAATATGGTCCAAGTGAGAAGGAAGAAGAGGTGAGGGGGTATGATGGAAAAGCAGGGAAGTGGGATTTGCACAGGCTGGTGTGTGAGGAGTGAGTGAGTGAGTGAGTGAGTGAGTGAGTGAGTGTGTGTGTGTGTGTTTGGGAGAGTTGAATGAAATCCCCCATCTCATACACCCCCCTTCCAGCATCTGCCCTAACCCTCTGGCTCCATCAAAACCTTTCTCTCTGTGATCCAAGGAACAGGCTCAAATCCCCCTCCCACAGAGACTCCACTGGTCTTTCCTCCCTGTAGCTAGAACCCTATAACCTAGCTGTGTCTGTTCTATATGACCTCCCTGTAGGTAGGAGGGTGGATTGGGGGATCAGGCCATCTTCTAGGAAGACTGCCTTGATACCCCCTGCTCTCACCATGAACCCTATTTTGTGTGCCCACATTATTTCTATTAGCGCACTCAACATACTGACTTGCCATCAGTTGTGCTTTCGTGTAGACAGTGAGCTTCTTAAAGTCAGGGACATTGTCTTATTCGACCTCGAGTTCCCAGCATTTTCCCCTCTGCAACAAGCATCTACTAATGAATGGACACATGAGCAAGCCTACCACAAACCCTCCAGCTCAGAAGGACCTGGTTGGAGGTTCAAGTTCCCCACATAGGCCTTCTGATCTGTGGGGGATAAAGGGCAGCAATCAAACAAATCCTGGTTTTTGGAGAAATCAGGAAGTATAAATGATGGCCTCTGCCTTTTGGTGCTTACTGTGAGTTGGAAGCCTGTGTTCTTTCTAGAACACAGTGCAATGGTTAGAAGAACTGCATGGAGAAATCAGGGCTTGGCTGAAACTTGAAGAATGAGTGACAACGGTGTTGGTGGAGCTGGGAGAGAGACACCTTGGCAGGAAGATAGATAGGACAAAGGTGGGGGACAGGAACACGAAAGATGTATACACAGGACAATGAGTTTGCCAAGCTGCCTGGGAGATGGTGGGGCATCAGGATGGAGTCTGACTGTGGAGATCTTCAGCCCCACGTCACCTCTCCCCCATGTACACAACAGCACAGTGCCGAGGAGACTCAAAGAGCTTGGCAATACTTTTTCAGACTCTGATTAATTGGTGTTACCTGGTATTAGTGACCCGGATGGTGGAATAAATCTTGTGGAAAGATTAATATTATTCTTTGTAGAAGAAATTACATTAATACACCTTATGTTCTGTGAAAACCAGTAACCAACATGGGGTTAGTAAGCAGCCCTCTGTGAAAAAAGTGTTTTGTAGACGAAGTGAGATGTTCATACTTCTCCCGGAGAGCTGCCATTCACATTGGCAAACAGAAGACTCTGAGGCATCCTCAAGTCAAGAAACCTGGTTTGCTTGATCTAGGTAGGTAGATCTCTACCTATCTTTACCCTTTCTTCTTTCCTTCCTTCCTTCCTTCCTGTCTGCCTGACTTTTTTCTATCTTTCTTTCTCTCCCCATACCTTCTTTCTTTTTTCAGGATAGCTTATTCACTTCTCTCCTGAGAGCACAGTTCTGGAGTACATGGTTTGGGAAATGCCTTCACGTTCATGTGCTTATTTGATCCTTGGAAGTGCAGGCATTATTATCCTGATTTTACAGATGAGGCAACCTGTGGCTCAAAGAGATCTGGTGACATGTCCGGAGTCACCCAACTGGTTGAGAGCAGAGCAGACAACGCCAGGCCTCAGCATGATGCCTCTCCTGGTGCCTAATGTCTGGAAATCTGGACACTAGAGAAGTGGGAAAATTCAACAAGGGTCAAGTTCAACCAGCAGACTTTTAGGTCAAGCTGCTAGCTAACATAAAGCCAGAAATGATTGCCAGTTGGCAGGCATGGTGAGCGAGGGCTGTGGTGTGGGAGACAGTGGGTAACATGGACTGGTGAGCTCAGCAGGGAATCTGTTCAGATGGCATGAGACAGAGATCAGAATCAGTCGGGCAGCACGAAGTGGAGATGAGCTAATCTTTCCAGCCTTTCAGCACCCAGCAGTGCTGCTTGGCGCCTTTTCTCTGGGCTGGTGCCACGTCTTCCAGTAGGTAGCAGAGACCTTGACATTGGAGGGGGAGCAGAAGGGAGACACAGAATGCCCAGGGGTTGGAAATAGGACCTGCCACTGCAGGACCCGCATGTGGCCCTGGAGATGAGAAAGCCAAGGAGTGGTGGGGTTGTCTCAGCTGGCCCCGGGGAAGAGGGCTATCTACTCTCCATCTCCAGTGTGTACAGAGCAAAAGGAAAAGGGGGGCCCCTCATGGAGAGGGACTTCAGAGAGGAACAACAAAGCCCATCCCCATAGTGACGCATATCAGACAAGGGAGGGCGGGTGCCTGGGGAAAGGGTGTGGTGTCACCTCTTCTGAAGATCTCTATCGAAGGAGGGATGGGTTGACTTTGATGGAGGAGGGGTTTCAGGGTATGGGCCTGCTTTACTGGGGGAAAGGAGTCAGGAAGGAGAGTAGGGTAGTGAGGAGGGATCCTCAATGAGGGCAGGAGGGGGACAGGACCAGGTCATGGGGGGCAGAGGGAGTTGGGTGAAGAGAGCAAAGGAACGGAGCAGGAGAAAAACTCAATTGGTAAAATCACCAAGGATGGGGCATGCCCAGGTCACCTGTGTTGTCAGGGATAGGATCACTTCTTCCTGGCTCCCTCTCACTGCTTACTAAGGAGGGGGCGATGTATACCGAGAGCCTCAGTTAATCTGTAAACTCCCAGGCACTGGCTCTCTCTCACTTGTTTGTGCTTCACATTCTAGTCATTTTGGGTCCATTAGTCATGGAAACTTGTTTCATTTCCTTAGGTCAACTGAGAATATTGACGGAGTTAGATTCCATAGGATTTCTGAATTTCACAAGTCATTGTGTACTAGGGAACTAGACTCAGTCAACACAGCTAGGGACGTCATTCCCAGATGACCTCTAGCCCCATGGTGGACTAGTTGAACAGCCATTTAGTTTAGCCCTGAGTTTTTCAAGGGTTCCAGCATCATCGCCGGCATTTGAGTGAGTGTGCCATTCTTTATGAGTTCTACAGAACATATGCGGCTCACCCATCTCTTACACAATCTGGCACCGGCCCTATTTTCCTTATAGACATTTTAGGTGCGTGTCAGTTACAATCACCAATTCAAATAAACAACACCCCCACTATGTGCAAGTCCTGACTATTAATTTGAGAGGCTTCGGAGGTTTTCCAAGGCAAATATCACTGGGAAACCCCATTCCCTATTAATAGTATGGAGACCGCATAGCACCTTCAAATTTGGAGAGAATAAATCTGAAGTGCTCACCTTTGCTCACCGATTTTATTCCTTGCAAAGCAGCTACACATCTAACAGACCAGGCACAAGACTTGACTTTGAGGCTCTAATGGGCAAATTCAGAGGCTGTGAACCTGATTCTTCAGTCACCCCAGATTCCTCCCCTTATATTTAAATCCAGACTCTTAGCTCACACTGTATAGCTGGAAAGGTGACCCAGGACACATGGAATAACCCTCTCACTCTTTGACCTTCCTCTTTCAGTGAAGCCTTTCCCACCCTTTTGGCCCAGACATAGGAGAGACTGCATAGTCTAGGGAGATTGACTCTTGTCCTGGCCCTGCGCTTCCTGGCTCTATCTCACTGTGAAAAGGAACTTCCTTGAGCCTTCATCTTTTCATCTGTAAATGAGGGTGGTAACAAGTGCCCTCAAGTTGCCTTGAGAATTACAAGAGATCCAGATACTAGGTGCCTCAGTGCAGACCCTAACATATTAGATACCCAGTCAGTGTGAATTCCCCTCCTGCCTCCAAGTTTTGGCATGTGGGCCATGGGATGCATCATGCACACTTGACTATTACCCAGCACAGTCCACGTGACTGCCCATCATTGCCATGAGCTTCTTAGAGGCAGGAACTGAGTCTTAAATTCCTTTGTATGCCTCAAAATCCTGAAAAAGTATGGAGCCACAGCCTGCCTGAGTGCCTGCTGCTTCCTCTTGCAATTGAAATTCTTCTAATGGAACCGCAATGATCTTGGGATGAAGTCCCGGCTGTGACACCCACCCACTTCTAAGACCCTTCAGATCTCACCTCTGCCTATTGCCCAGCTTTATCTCCTGGGCCCTGCTGAACCATGAAGTTTTTTGGGCTCCCTGGCATCTTCCTGCTACTAATTCTTTGCCCGGCTAGTCCTCTGCCTGGAACACGCTTTCCCTCCTTGCTCCAGGTCCTTGTTCCTGTGCTGTCCTTCTCATCTTTACCTTCTCAGCTTAGATGTTTTTCCTTCAGGAAGTCTTCCTTGTCCCTCCCTGTGCCTTATGGGTGCACATCCTCTCTCCTCTTATCACAATAGGTACCACAGTAGGTATCCTTCTTCTTCCAACTTACCTTGGGGGTGAAGTCTGGGTGGAGTTCATCATTCTATCTCCAGCCTGGCACATAGGGCATGCCCATTAAATATCTGTACCCTTCTTGCTACTACTTTGCCTAGAACCAGTAAAGTGACCTGGGTCAGGCCCAGGACCAGTGGAACTGTCCTGTTAGAGGGGTTTTTCATTTGGGGATGTAGAGGCGAGTGGGGAGAAGGCTGAGACTGGACTCACAAAGGGCCTGGAGTGGGCAGCCCAGACCATCATCGCCCCACGGGGTCATGAGAAAAAGACAATATCATGTCTAATTAATGGCGTTTCCTCTCCCAGCAACAGCCAATTCGGTCTACTCAGTTTCCCTCACTAGTGGTACAAGAATAGGAACAAGTTCAACCAAGGTTTGGGAAAAATTCCATCAAGATAGAAGGGCCAAAAAAATGTAG